GTTAACATTACTGTTAACCTATCATTTGGTTGTACTTGTGACTTGTCCACTTCTGAAGTTCTCATATTAATGTGCTAGACAAGCGTCTGTAACAGTAACAAGTCCAGCAACTTAAAAGTATCAGCCTATTAGGACAAGAGTAAGGTAATCAGATTCATCAATATAATTGTTACTCATTTAGTTATTTTAATTTATATTTTTACCACATGGCTGACTAATCTTTGGCTGCTTCATGAGCTCTCTTGGCACAAGTAATTTCCTCTACCAGCGGCCCATTTGATAGAGCTTGACGTGCTGCTTCATTCCCTGCGATCGTCTTGTTAGGACCCTGACCAGACCCAAGATGCCTATTCTCCCAGCCCCATCCAGTAAGATATACCCCAACGAAGAATGTCTGCATCCCCGGTCTTTGCTGAGCTGGGGGATGTTCATCAAGATACCGCAATTTGATTCCCTTACCCATGATCTTTTTAGCAAGTATTTCCTTCGCATTCAAAACGGGCTTCTGCATGCCAAGTTCCGAAAGCTTTGGAAGCCATAACTGCGTCAACCATGTTTCAACGGCCCTGTAGCCATCAACTGGATCAGATATGATAGCTGCGGCCACATAGGCCTCGAAAATGTCTGCCTTGGTCTTTGTCCACCGTTTTGGTTGCTTCAGATAGTCCTGTGGCACTGCAGCCTTGCTGTCAAGACCATATACCGTCGCGTACTCGGCGAGAGTTTCATTCTTTACTAGGAGTTCTCTGATCTGTGAAATCCGCCCCGAAGGAATTTCTTGAAAACTTCTCCATATGAGCTTTGTAGCAATGAGTTCTATATAGGCATCCCCAAGGATTTCAAGTCGATCGTAGGTTTTCTCGGTATCGTTGCCCACACCCGGATGCGTGAAAACAGCTCTTTTCAAGACTTTATCCATAATAGGAGGTAACACCGGCAAGTTCTCTTGCGTACCCACTACTCCAGTTGAGGAGTCAGTCAATATATGGCTATTGCGAGCACTTGCAGTTGATAAATGGCTCTTTGCGCGACGTAGGGCCTCCTCTAGCCCAAAAGTTGCCTTAAGGATATCAGGGCCAACTTCAACATCACGAGCTTGTAGGTAGCGATAATTTTCAAGAGCATCACTCAAAAGATCTGATACCACAGTAAAACAAGATCTAATCTCGTCTTTGTCCAAAGCACTGTTATCCAAGACCGGGCGATCAAGCTTGAAAGGTCAGTACTGAATAGAACTTTCTCCTGGAAGGTGCGTACCTTAACCTTAGCTTCCTTGATATAAGTACTAGTAGAGGTTGAAAAAACGGACTTCCTTTTATGGCCCATTGTTACAGTGCATTAATAGTAAAAAAAGTAGCGTTGAATGCTGTATATTTTCAGAGAATACAAGGCTCATCACACCACGTGACCACGGCAGGCGATAGGCCTATGTGTCGGCCTGGTGTTCTTATCCTCTTAGTCTCATATGCCCAAATATGGCGGCGCCCTACAGTCGTATTCTGGACCTTGCAAAGGTATTACCTCATGCACAAGCTGTGTCTTGCTGTGTAATCAAGTGTGAATTGATGTTAATGCTGCTTGTAGGTCCAATGTCGAATCTTTTCACTTAACTTTAATCCACAAAGGTTACGGCTGGGAAATAAGGTCCTTCGACAGCGACTTCGCGGCCCAACACTTGCAGAATGGTATCCGAAAAAGGCTGTTTCTTTCCGTGACTTACAAGACAGTTACAAGCCTCTCGGCTTAACCATGTTCGATGAAGCGGAGGATGATAGAGAGGAGGCTATCCAAATGTATGTTATCCCTGGTCCTGTACTGCAACATGTGCTCACAATTTCAAACTAGTGCGAAGCTTCGAGGAAAGGGTCGGCCAAAGAAAAAGAGAACAGCCGCTGGTAAGACAACTCAAAGGGAATACCGTCTTCATGTTGCGGTCACTAATCCTCGGGTAGAATCGAGATCCGCAAAGAAAAAGAAATAGAAAAGAAAGGACAGGTGTTACCTCCTCTGATCTCATACTAAAAACCATAATTTTGAAGTCTTTGTATTATA